AGAATCATAGAATCATAGAATCAAAGAGTTGGAAGAGACCTCATGGGCCATCCAGTCCAACCCCCTGCCAAGAAGCAGGAATATTGCATTCAAATCACCCCCTGACAGATGGCCATCCAGCCTCTGTTTAAAAGCTTCCAAAGAAGGAGCCTCCACCACACTCTGGGGCAGAGAGTTCCACTGCTGAACGGCTCTCACAGTCAGGAAGTTCTTCCTAATGTTCAGATGGAATCTCCTCTCTTGTAGTTTGAAGCCATTGTTCCGCGTCCTAGTCTCCAAGGAAGCAGAAAACAAGCTTGCTCCCTCCTCCCTGTGGCTTCCTCACACATATTTATACATGGCTATCATATCTCCTCTCAGCCTTCTCTTCTTCAGGCTAAACATGCCCAGCTCCTTAAGCCGCTCCTCATAGGGCTTGTTCTCCAGATCCTTGATCATTTTAGTCGCCCTCCTCTGAACACATTCCAGCTTGTCAATATCTCTCTTGAATTGTGGTGCCCAGAATTGGACACAATATTCCAGATGTGGTCTAACCAAAGCAGAATAGAGGGGTAGCATTACTTCCTTAGATCTAGACACTATACTCCTATTGATGCAGGCCAAAATCCCATTGGAGGCACATAGATGCCCATTGTTTTGATGCTCAGTTGTGCACATAGTTTACGAAGTTGGGGAGAACAGGAACAGCAAACAAGAACAACATCAATTCTTTATCACGCGCCTTCAACAGATTGGTGCCATACAGGGATTATATTGAAGAGAATGGATCCTGCCAGGGAATTTGCAATACAAAAGGCAAGAAAAGAACACAAAAGGAAGGGAAAGGGTGTCCTGAACGGGAGCTGGCTGCAATTCCAGGCCTCTCGAAGCCCTTCATTAGATATGAAATATGCATCACTGGATTACCATTAATCTCATCTGAGGATAAACAGATGCAAGAAGTGGTCAACAGAGGGGAAAATTATCATAGGGTGAGTCTACACTGGAAATGGGTGCAGTGTGACTGTTCTGTCGCATGCTGGGCCTGTAAAGAATTTCCTTTAGAACAGGACGTGCAACCTTTGCCCAGCGGGAAGCCAGGGGGCCCAAGGAGAAGTTCTCAGAGGTTTTCCACCACAAATGATCTTTAGATGGCTTGTAAAGTATAACGAAGTCTTTTATTAATGAACAATCAAACAGAAACTTCTCTTGTCTTCAATAAAGATAAACAAATGATTCCAGGCTTTTATGCAACTGGTGGCTTCCTAAACTTGCCCACGAAGGACAGGCAACTGTCTTCAATAACTTCTTCTTTACTTTAAATGGAATTCCCCTTTTTAACTTCTCCCAGGCTAACTGTAATCTAACCCTTACTGATGTGGGCTCCGCTACCGGGTCGAACTGCTTCTCGAACGCCGAGTAGACCTACCAGTAAAGGCTTAGATGTTCTCCAGCTGGAGTTCTTTGGTCTTTAGGGCTGTTTCCCTGGAAATCTTTGGAGACTCTTAAGACTGTTCTCCCCTGGAAAGTCTTGGATGCTCTTAAGAATGTTTTCCCCTGGAAAGTCTTAAGGGTTGAAGCTTTTGTACAGGGGAAGCTTTCACACATCCTGTACATTAGCTTTCCTTGCTGAGACTGACTAAAAATGGCTCCCTTCCCTTCCCAATTGCCCCGAGCAAGGGGCGGAACCAAAACTTAACGATGATGGATGGGTGACTTGCCCTAAGACTGCAACCAAAGGAAGCCACCCATCTGCAGAGTCCCTGAACCCTTGGACTGCAAGCAAACATTTAATACAAAGCAAATAAAATTGGAGCTCCTGGTACAGCTGTACCAGAACAATGACACCACTTTAACTGCCATGGCGCAATGCTGTGAAACCCTAGAAGCTGTAGTTTTACAAGATCCTTCTCTTCCAAAGTGTGCTGGTGCCTCGCCAAATGGCAATCCCCAGGATTCCATAGCATTGAGTCATGGCAGGCAAAGTGGTCTAAAACTGCATTCATTCCATAGTGTAGATGCATCCCTAATCCTTTAGCCCTCTTCTTCTGACTGCCATCCTATTTATGCCTACTTTATTAACTACAAAAAAGAACTATGTTGGGGAAACTTTGCATGCAGATGACCTAAAGAATTATTGTTAACCTAATAATCCCTACCTACAGAAAGACAGGAAAGCTCCACCTAGGAGTTGGATATGTTTGATTTGGAGACATGGAATGCCTTGTTTAAATATTGAACAGAATCCTGTATTGATAATGGAACAAGCTTTGTTTCTGCTACAGGCAGTGGAGGAAAGAGTTCAAACTACAGGAAAGATGGATTTCACTTGAATATTAGGAAGAAATGTCCTAATTCTAAGCGCGGTTGGACAGTGGGGATACATTGCCTGGGAGCCCAGCGGAGACTCCTTTTCTGGAGGTTTCCCAACAGAGGTTGAATGGATATCTGTCAGGAGGGCTTAGATGGTGTCCTCCTGCCTGGGAGAAGGGGGTGTTGCACTCCATGACAGGAAAAACACCACATGTTGAATAGGGAAAAACAATCCTTTTATTTAAGCCATATTGGGCTCACTACACACTACATCAAGGACTCAGCCCACTTCATAGAAAAAAATCAGCAATCTCAAGCTAAATACCAACGACAAACTGATCAGCTTCGATGTGGTATCTCTATTTACCATGGTCCCGGTAGCAGACACCATGGCACTCATCAACCAGAGGTTCCCAGAAGACATCACAGCTCTGTTTCACCATTGCCTCACCACCAGTTACTTTCAGTGGGACAATGAATTCTACGAACAGAAAGATGGAGTAGCTATGGGGAGCCCTCTCAGCCTGGTCATAGCTAACTTCTACATGGAACACTTTGAAAAACAAGCCCTGGAGACAGCAACCAAAAAGCCCACGATACGGTTCAGAGATGTGGATGACACCTTCACCATTTGGAGCCATGGAGAAGAAGAACTCAACAGGTTCCTGGACCATCTGAACAGCATCCACCCAAACATCCAGTTCACCATGGAAAAAGAAAATGAAGGAAGACTGCCTTTTCTAGATGTCCTAGTCATCCGCAAACCAGATCAACAATTGGGTCACACCATTTACAGAACCCCCCCACCCACACACACACACAGATAGATATCTACATAAAAACTCCAACCATCACCCAAGTCAAAAAAGAAGCCCCATTAAAGCCTTGGAAGACCGTGCAAAAAGAATCTGCGAAGCCCACCTCCTCCAAGATGAACTGAAACCCCTCAACTGGGCTCTCCAGGCCAAGGGAGACTCCACCTCAGACATCAGAAGAGCTGCAAGACCAAGAGAATAAGCCACGAGAGTAAAGATGAAGATCCACCCAGAGGAAAAGTGTTCTTGCCATACATCAAGGGAACCACTGACCGCATAGGGAAGCTGATGAGGAAACACAACATACAAACTATCTACAGACCCACCAAGAAAATCCAACCAATGCTCCATTCAGCAAAGGACAAGAGGGATCCTCTCACCTCTGCAGGAGTCTACCGTACCATGCAGCTGTGGACAAGAAGTCTCCATAGGGACCACCAAATGCAGCGCCCAGACAAATCAAGGAACATGAAAGGCACGGCAGACCCTTCAACCAGAGAAGTCAGCCATAGCAGAGCACCTGAGGAACCAGCCTGGACACAGCATATTATTTGAGAACACAGAAATGCTGGACCACACCAACAACCACCATGTCAGACTACACAGAGAAGCCATTGAAATCCACAAGCATGTGGACAATTTCAACAGAAAGGAAGAGACCATGAAAATGAACAAAATCTGGCTACCAGTATTAAAAAAACTCTAAAATTACAACAGCAAAACAGCAGAGAGGAAACAACCAGGCACATCTTAACACCTCTCAACAAAAGATTTTCCCAGGCTCAGGCAGGCCTTCAAATGCTAATGAAGGTAGTCAGTTGAAACATTCACACCTAGCTCTAGCAGAGAAGAGCTCTTTGTCCCACCCTGGTCATTCCACAGATATATAAACCCATTGTCCTAATTCCAACAGACCTCACAACCTCTGAGGATGCTTGCCATAGATGCAGGCGAAACGTCAGGAGAAATGCCTCTAGAACATGGCTCTATAGCCCGAAAAAACCCACAAGAACCTAATCCTTTTATTGGAGATAAGTAAAAGCAGCAAAGTAAAAAAAAGGCACTTTAAAGGAATAGGTAAATCCAATTAGGTAAGAAGATAAGCAGGAACAAATTAATCCAAGGTAAAGTTCAGCAAAGTCCAAAAACAAAGTCCACACTTCTCTAACAAAATCCAGAAAACCAGGTAACGTTGATCCAAGGCATGAGCAGGTAATCACAAGGGACAAAAAGCCAAACCAAGAAACAAGAAATCCTTAAGCATGAATTTCCCAACCACAGCTTCCATGAAACAAGGACAAGAACTGAGCAGGATTCTAAACTATGCTTCATCCGACTAGATTTCCCATGCTTGGAACTTTTAAGCCATTCCAAGCTCTCAGGAACTGGTTTCGCTTTCCTTGAGCAGCCCTTATCTTTTTCTGTCGGAGGCTGGCAGAACACCGAAGGCATTGCTCAACCTGTCTGTTTTGATTTTTTAATTTAATTAATTTATGCTTGCCTATCTATCTGCTCATTAATTTCTGCAAGTGCCGAGTTGTTTTCAAGCCCCAAATCCTCTCTGGGAGAATTCAGGGAGTAAACCACCATCCCTGTACCCTGTAGGAACATTCTCATGGGAAACTACACTTTGAACAGGTGTCTCTATGTCATTCTCTGCATCAATATCACTGACCAAATCATTGTCATCTTGAACCTCATTTGCATCATTCCCCACAGCCAAAGCACTCTGATCCTGAAACACAATCGCAGGTTGAATTCCAGCAGGGGGTTGGAATAGATGGCCTCTGGGGGACCCTTCCCACTCTAGGATTCTATGGTTATGTTTCTATGAAAACATCCGTAATGACCCAGAGTGAAAAGTAATGCAAGCAATTGCCTCCTGACGCTTACCAAGGATGGTTTCATCCGTTCCAAAGTGGGCCCGGTAGAAGAGGACCAGTTCCAGCCAGTAGGCGTGATAGATGACCGTCAGGGCCACCACCAGCAGAACGGTGGCTCCAAGGCCACAGGCGAGCTCCACTGTGTACCGTGGAACCAGAGCTGTTGGGGGACAAGGAAAAAAAAGGGTTCAAACAATGCAAAGCCAAGGATATCAGCATGCAAATCTTTGTTTTTAAATCTTAAGTCGTATCTAATTCGTAACTTTTGTATATTGGAACAGATATTTAAAAAGCACTGGGAAAGAGAGAGGGGTTGCTTACACATAACTTAAGGAGCAAAACTCACCCAATGCTTTTTCATTTGAATACTTCAGTGCTCAAAAGTCAGTTTCCATGTTCAGCACAAGAGATGGAAGCCAAAAGGCTGCCATTCCTCTTCAAATTAAGAAGAGATAGGCTGCCTCTTGGTATGAGGAAAGGAAAGTAGTAGGGTGGGATGAGCTGAGTGAGCTGGGACTTATTGTCTCATGGCAAGCATGGCAAACCCAAACACAGCAGAGTCTCTATCAGTAGTTAGCAGAGATTTACGGCACACTCTCTGACCTTGTTTGCAGCTCACCACTTTAGTAGGACACTTGAGCTCTGATTTTCATCCAAACACATATTGGAAGCTTTACTCTTCACTTGTTGCTTAAGTACAGTTATTTGCACTGATCTGCTATTGGTATTCGCAAAAATATAAATGTACATGGCATTGAATATTTGCCTTTGTATTTGGAAGCCATCCTGGGTCCCTTCAGGGAGAGAGGGCAGGTTAGAAATAAATTATTATTATTATTATTATTATTATTATTATTATTATTCTCACAGCAACAATACACCATCCACATGGCAAGAGATCACTATGGCAAGAACACCACATGACAAAGAGATACACATGGCAAAAAGATCCGCATTGCTGTGTTTTGTGGAATTTTGAATCTTATTAACTAGGGTTTATGTGACGTTTTATGTAATATTGTTTGTACATTTATATTGTTATTGTTTATATGATTATGCATTGTGCATTTTATATGTGTGGCACTTTGGAGTAACTTTTGTGAGCCGCCTGAGTTCTTTCGGGGAGATGGTGGTGGGATACAAATAAATTATTATTATTATTATTATTATTATTATTATTATTATCATCATCATCATCATCATCTGCTACTCACTTTTATACCTATAGGCTTCTTGTCATCACGCAGGGACAACAATGAACTACATAGTCCTTGTCATACCTGTCACATGGTCATGACTACACTCATTTGCCTGTCCCTCTAGCTTCACATCTCAACTTGCTTAACTCTTTAGTGGAATGTGATGTGATCACATGTCTATTAGAACTGTATTTTCCACACAGTAATGCACAATGGAGTTAACAGACAATCTTTATTTATTTATTTACTTGCTTCATTTATATACCGCTTTTCTCAGCCCTTAGGCGACTCAAAGCGGTTAACAGCAGCAATTTCAATGCACACATTACAAAACCATTGGAACATTTAAAAACAATAGCAGAACAACAATTAAACATCAATATGACAAATCATTCGCATCTCATTAATAGAATCAGAATCCAATCTCATCATCCATTATTCCGTGTTCCTGTAATCAATTACACTGCCTAATCAAATGCAAACAACCAGGTCTTCACTTTTCTCCGAAATGCCAATAAGGAGGGGGCCGATCTGATATCTGTAGGAAGGGCGTTCCACAGCCAAGAGGCCACCACTGAGAAGGCCCTGGTCTCTCGTACCCGCCAGGCGTGCTTGTGATGCCGGTGGGACCGAGAGCAGGGCCTCTCCAGATGATCTTAATGTCGTAGCTGGTTCATAGGAGGAGATGCGTTCGGACAAGTAAGTCGGGCCAGAACCGTTTAGGGCTTTATAGGCTAAAGCCAGCACTTTGAATTGTGCCCGGTAGCAAATTGGCAGCCAGTGGAGCTGGCGCAACAGAAGAGTTGTATGCTCCCTGAGTGCTGCTCCTGTTAGCACCCTGGCTGCCGAGCATTGGACCATTTGAAGCTTCCGAGCAGTCTTCAAAGGCAGCCCCACGTAGGGAGCGTTGCAGTAGTCTATACGGGATGTAACCAGAGCGTGGACTACCGTGGCCAAGTCAGACTTCCCAAGGTACGGGAAGCATACTTCTACCTAGCATACTTCTCCTTGAAACTGGTCATAGAGTGTCACTAGAAGACCTAGAGATTCTTAGAGAAAATATTTTGAACCAAATCCATGAATAATCATGTCCGTCAAAACCAAAACTGTAAATGTGGAGGGATGGCTGCATTGAACCATGTCTCCTTACCTTTCATCCTCACCAGAGCCTGCATCTGAGAAGTTCCATTATTGTTGTGGGCGAAACAGGTGTAGTTGCGCCTCAGGTCCTTCTCCGTCACTTTCGACACAAACAAGGTCTTCTTCACCTTCACGTTCCCAATGGTTAATGGCTCCTCCCTGGAAAAGAGGAAGGGTAAGAAGAGGATCATGTTCAACGATAAGGTCTGCTTTGGTCAGGGCTCACCTGGAATAGACTTGTGTGTCCTGTTCTGGGAAAAGTAATCCAAGAAGGGTAGGGTCAAGGTGGAAGGGGTCAAAGGTCTGGAAACTATGAATCTGTTGCACTCCGGGTCAGGAAAAAGCCCTCTGACTTTAAAACACACCACATGAAGAGTGAAGAAACAAATCTTTTATTGAAGCTTAGTAAATAGCCAGAAGAAATAAATGCTTGTAAAAAAATAAGAAAGTTCCAAAAAGTAATAAGTCTATAAAAGGTAGTAACACAAAGCAATGTCCACACCAGATATAAAAGCAACCCAAGACAGCATTAACCCAGACAGGAATCAACAGGATGCAAAGACAGTCCAAAAGGCTAAAAAAAACTCCACAGGAACAAGACCCCTTGAACAGGATTTCCATGGCACATGAATGTGATTTCCAAATGATGCCTGATCTAACAGGTTTCCCCTTGAGGCAAACCTTATATCCCGAAACTCAGAAATTGGTTTTGCTTTCCCCCACATTTACCCCTTATCAAACGAAGCCTTTCAGAGCGACGTATTTATTTATTTATTTACAGTTCTTATATTCCGCCCTTCTCACCCCGCAGGGGACTCAGGGCGGATTACTGTAAACACATATATGGCAAACATTCAATGCCAGTTTGACAAACAACATTTAACAGACAAAGGCTATTTAACTTCTTTCTGGCCGCCAGGGGAGCTGCTGCTTTTCATCGTCCATCAACGACACCGATGAAGTTCTTCCACATTCCACATTCCCCGGAGTCTTCTTTCTTTATGGCCTCATAAATTAGTTAAATTTAGCCTCCCACACAAGGTGGTGCCTTATTTTCCTACTTGACAGATGCAACTGTCTTTCGGGTTGCAAAGGTCGACAACGAGCTAAATTGGTCGGACACTCACTCCGGCCCGGGCTGGCTTCGAACTCATGACCTTTCGGTCAGTAGTTATCTTAATGCAGCTGACTCCCAACCAGCGCGCCACAATCCCGGTGCGCCACAATCCCGGACGTAAACACTGAGTTTGCTGTCGATCCTGGCTAATCTCCAGCCGCCTATTCTTCAGCTCCCTATCTGGCTGCTCATTAAAATTCCCAGGTGTCAGATTGTTTTCCAAACCCAAATCTTGAGAGCTCACAGAGAGAGAGAGTGAACCATCATTGCTAGGCCAAGCAGGAATATTCTCATGAGAAACTGCCCTTTGCACTGGGGCCTCTCTGTCATTGTCTGCCTGAAAATCATTGACCAAACCATCTTCATCTTGTACCTCAGCCTCAACACCATCATTTCTCTCATAATTTCCCTCATCATTTCCCACATCAGGATCCTGAAACACAAACATAGGCTGATTCCCAACAGAATCCCTCTGAGGACGGGGTGAGGGATCTGGGTATGGTTAGCTTGGAAAAAAAAAGGCTGAAACTTAAGGAAGGTCCTGTAGAAGATGCAGCCAGATTGTTTTCTCTTGCTCAAATGATAGGGCATGAACCAATGGTTCAAATTCCAAAAAAAGGGATGGCACCTCAACATTATGAAAATGTTCTTGAAGGTAAGAGCTGTTCAATGGTGGGATTTGTCAGAGTTTTTACGTTATATCATTTCTCAATTGACAACAATTAAGTATCCACGTTGTCTGGATGCCCGACCACCGTCTCCCAAAGCAGTTGCTCTATTCCGAACTCAAGAACGGAAAACGGAATGTTGGTGGGCAGGAAAAGAGATTGAAAGATGGGCTCAAAGCCAACCTCAAAAACTCTGGCATAGACACTGAGAACTGGGAAGCCCTGGCCCTTGAGCGCTCCAACTGGAGGTCAGCTGTGACCAGCAGTGCTGCAGAATTTGAAGAGGCACGAATGCAGGGGGAAAGAGAGAAACATGCCAAGAGGAAGGGGCGTCAAGCCAACCCCGACCAGGACCGCCTTCCACTTGGAAACCAATGCCCTCACTGTGGAAGAAGATGCAGATCAAGTATAAGGCTCCACGGCCACCTACAGACTCACAGGAATTCTGATCCTGGAAGACTATCCTACTTGGCCAACGAGGGATCGCCTAAGTAAGTAAGTAAGTAAGGATCAGGACCTTAAGCGTCAAACTATCTGGCTAGCACTGAGCAATCTACAGCCAGGGTGGAGTAGCTGCAAGTGTACGAAAGAAGCACAAACTTTTATGTTGTTTGTGATGATCCTGTTGGTGGATGGGTGCTGTGGGAAGATAAAGCTGCAGAGAAGCTGAAGGATTGGTGAAGAAAACCAGAGAGAGCCTTTTGCCGAGATGAAAGTATGAACTAACTGAGAGTATCAGGAAGAAGGGCTGGAGAAGAGACGAGATCTTCTACTACACATATGTAAATATTTCAGTATAAAAGCTGATTGGCACGACCTCAGGATCACAACCAGACACAGCGGAGACATCTGCCATTGCGCTGTGCTACTCTGCTGCTGAGTCTGCATGCCCAGTGTGGAACAAATCTCACCACACTAAAACGGCAAATGTGGCTCTTAATGACACATGCCACATTATCACGGGGTGTCTGCGCCCTATACCACTGGAGAACCTACACTGTCTAGCCGGTATCGCACCACCTGACATCTGCTGGGAAGTAGCAGCCAATAGTGAAAGGACCAAGGCAGTGACATCTCCATCCCATCTCCTGTTTGGGTATCAACCAGCATTTCAACGACTTAAACCAAGAAATAGTTTTCTAAGATCTAAAGATACACTCGCTGGAACACCCCAGCAAGCGAGAGTCCAAAAGTGGCAGACTCAAACCCAGAGCTTCAATCAATGGCTGATCCCAAATGAGAGACTCCCCCCTGGCACACAGAAGACTGGGCGACTTGGAAGGCGCTGAACAGACTGCGCTCTGGCACCACGAGATGCAGAGCAAACCTTCAGAAATGGGGCTACAAAGTGGAATCCTCGACATGCGAGTGTGGAGAAGAGCAAACCACTGACCACCTACTGCAATGCAACCTGAGCCTTGCCACATGCACCATGGTGGACCTCCAAGTGGCCAGATCCTGGTCAAAGGACATTTAATCAACTACCAAGCTTGCAAACGTTGTGTTTTGTCTGTCTGTTTGTTTGTTTTGTTAAAAATATAATACGACTGTCTGGTTGCTCCTGACATGATAAATAAATAAATAACTAAATAAACAAATAAATCTTTTCTACTGACAAGACAAGTTGCTCTTTTAGCTTGATTTGATGAAAACATCTTCTTTAGTTCCTCCAGCATGACTATGTGGCAGGCATGGGCAAACTTGGGCCTTCCTCCAGGTGTTTTGGACTTCAACTCCAAAAGAAAAGTTGAAATCCAAAGCACTTGGAGGGCCAAAATTTGGCCATGCATATATGGCTTAAAAATGGAAATGAGCACCAACTGCCAGAGTCAGACACAACTGGACTTAATGTCAGGGGAAAACCTTTACCTAACCTACTCTATAGTCAACTCTGCTGCAGTTTGACCATAGGATCACACTGGAAGACCTAGAAATGTATACCATAAACATTTCTTTAACATTCTCTAGATCCTCCAGTGCAATTCTATGGCCACCCCAGAGTCATGTTGGAGGGGCTAAAGCAGTGGTTCTCAACCTTCCCAATGCCACGACCCTTTAATACAGTTCCTTATGTTGTGGTGACCCCCAGCCATAATATTATTTGTGTTGCTACTTCATAACTGTAATTTTGCTACTGTTATGAATCGTCATGTAAATATCTGATATGCAGGATGGTTTTTCATTCACTGGACCAAATTTGGCACAAATACCCAATACACCCAAATTTGAATACTGATGGGGTTGGAGGAGATTGATGTTGTATTGTCGAATGCCTCTAGACCATGGCCATACAGCCCGAAAAAACCTACAACAACCCAGAGATTGATGTTGTCATTTGGGAGTTGTAGTTGCTGGGATTTATAGTTCGCCTACAATCAAAGAGCTTTCTGAACTCCACCAATGATGGAATTGAATCAGACCTGGCCACACAGAACTCCCATGATCAACAGAAAATGCTAGAATGGCTTGGTGGGCACTGACCTTGAGTTTGGGAGTTGTAGTTCACCTAAATCCAGAGAGCACTGTGGACTCAAACAATGATCAATCTGGAACAAACTTGGCACGAACACTCAATATGTCCAAATGTGGACTCTGGTGGAATTTGGGGAAAATAGACCTTGACATTCGGGAGTTGTAGTTGCTGGGATTTATAGTTCACCTAAAATCAAAGAGTATTCTGAACCCCACCAACGATAGAATTAGGCCAAACTTCCCATACAGAACCCCCATGACCAACAGAAAATATTGTATATTCTGATGGTCTTCGGGGACCCCTCTGACACCCCCTCGTGACCCCCCAGGGATCCCAATCCCCAGGTTTAGAAACACTGGGCTAAAGCCTCTGAGAGAGGTATTTGTGTGGATATTATGCTGCCCCTTACACTATCAAATGTGGCAGTATTCATACAGACTGTTCCAGGGAAGGAAATAAAAAAGGAAACCGTGAGGTTTAAAGGCAATGAAATGAGGAAGACGCAGGAGAAATAGCTTTCTGTGTCACGTTCATTCACAGAACAGACTGCCTGGCATCAAGTAAGCAAATTAATGCGCTAATTTTGGTTTGTTCTGATTCAAGCCACAGGAGACGACGGCACTGAACCTCTCGACGGATATTAACTCTGTAATTGATTCGTCTTAATTTGTGAGCCTTTTTACTCTTCTGCCTCAATTTCGCTACGGCGAGATTATCTCTCTTCTGGAGAATAAGCAAAAGGCAGCAATTTTTGCAAGAGAAAAGGGTCGGCACAGTCTAGCAATTGAGAGTGATGGGGTGGGATTTGGGAAATCTAATTGCAAGCCATAAAAGCCACTGTGGGATCCTGAACCAACCATTCTCTTTTCCCCTCTTCCTAGCCTTCCTTGCAGGATTGTTGTCAGCAAAAACAGGGCAAGGGATAGCAACTGTGCTGGTACGGCTGTACCAGGAGCTCCAACTTTATTTTCTTTCTGTTATCTGTTTGCAGTCATAGGGCAGGCCTCCTGTCCATCATGATTGAGCTTTGGTTCTGCCCCTTGTTCTGGGCTCTGGGAGGGAAAGGAACCATTTTTTGGTCAGTCTCACATAAGGAAGCTAAACTATAAGACGTAGACCAGCTCGTCCCGTAGAAAAGCTTCTTTTCTCATGAACATCCGGGGAAACAGAACATCTGGGGAAATAGAAACAGAAATTCCAGGGAAAAGGTCCCAAGGCTCTGGCTAAGGGCTCACAGCCTCTCAGCCTCACAGCAATCAGAGGGAAAACAGCCCTGAAGTTTCAAAGAATTCTGAGGGAGGACAGCACTACAGATCCACGGAACACCATCTGAAATATCTACAAGCCTCGGCTGGTAGGTCTACTCGATACCCAGACGCATTTGGAATCGGTAGGAGGACCCACGCCGATGAGGCATAGATAGTAAACAGCCTGGGAGAGGTTAAAAAGGGTTTTTTTTTTCCTACAGAGAAAGTACAGTTAATTAAAGTCAGGTACCAGTCCATTGAGGACTAGACTAAGAAAGTCTTGAAGTGTTTTTTGAACCATTGAAGATTTCATAGAATCATAGAATCAAAGAGTTGGAAGAGACCTCCTGGGCCATCCAGTCCAACCCCATTCTGCCAAGAAGCAGGAATATTGCATTCAAATCACCCCTGACAGATGGCCATCCAGCCTCTGTTTAAAAGCTTCCAAAGAAGGAGCCTCCACCACACTCTGGGACAGAGAGTTCCACTGCTCAACGGCTCTCACGGTCAGGAAGTTCTTCCTCATGTTCAGATGGAATCTCCTCTCTTGTAGTTTGAAGCCATTGTTCAGTGTCCTAGTCTCCAGGGAAGCAGAAAACAAGCTTGCTCCCTCCACCTCCCTGTGGCTTCCTCTCACATATTTATACATGGCTATCATGTCCCCTCTCAGCCTTCTCTTCTTCAGGCTAAACATGCCCAGCTCCTTAAGCCACTCCTCATAGGGCTTGTTCTCCAGACCCTTGATCATTTTAGTCGCTCTCCTCTGGACACATTCCAGCTTGTCAATATCTCTCCTGAATTGTGGTGCCCAGAACTGTACCACAGTATTCCAGGTGAGGTCTAACCAAAGCGGAATAGAGCATGGGGAGCATGACTTCCCTAGATCTAGACACTAGGCTCCTCTTGATGCAGGCCAAAATCCCATTGGCTTTTTTTGCTGCCACGTCACATTGTTGGCTCATGTTTAACTTGTTGTCCACGAGGACTCCAAGATCTTTTTCACACGTACTGCTCTCGAGCCAGGCCTCTTCCCCCGTTCTGTATCTTTGCATTTCGTTTTTCCTGCCAAAGTGGAGTATCTTGCATTTGTCCCTGTTGAACTTCATTTTGTTAGTTTTGGCCATTCATCTCTCTCATCTGTCAAGATGGTTTTGAATCCTGCTCCTGTCCTCTGGAGTATTGGCTCTCCCTCCCAATTTGGTCCCGTCTGCAAACTTGATGGTCCTGCCTTCTAACCCTTTATCTAAGTCATTAATAAAGATGTTGAACAGGACCGGGCCCAGGTCCTGTTGTTTGTTCCATAATAAAGACTTTGTTGTATCATGAAAGACTCTAAAGACAATTACTTCAGAAAAATCCCTGAGAACCTCTCTTTGAGGCACCCTGGCTTCTCGCTGGGCTTAAAGTATACGTCCTATAGAAAAGTACAGCTGATACAGGCCCAGCGCGTGACAGAACAGCAACATTGGGCATCTTTGGAGGAAAGTCAGATTGTGGAAATCCTATGGCTCTCCCAACACTGTTGTCTCTAGAAATCTCAAGTTCAGAGCTTTGCAAACTGTGTGTCGGGACACGTCAGTGTTTCAGCTGCATTGTGTAGATGTGTTGCATAAACATGCATTTTGTTGTATGCCAGTTAGTATGGCAGACATATAATCATTAGGTTAGAAGAGACCCCAAAGGCTGTTTGAAAGCCTCCAGACCAATTACACTATGTAACACAATTTCCCAACAACCTCCCAACAAAGTATTCCCCAGGCAGTAAGAAGTCAGACCTTGAAACTACAAGGCTATTAAATGTCAATCAAGGTGACCAAACATTGACACCTGCCTCCAACAGACAAGAGTACTTTCTCTCACCCTGGACATCATTCCACAGATATATAAACCCCATTATAATTTACTCTTGTGATTTTAGAGTGTTTTTTTAAATACTGGGAGCCAGATTTTATTCATTTTCATGGTTTCTTCGTTTCTGTTGAAATTGTCCACATGCTAAAACCATAACAGTAAATGAAGAACAACTGGGTTGTTGTAGGTTTTTTTCGGGCTATATGGCCATGGTCTAGAGGCATTCTCTCCTGACGTTTCGCCTGCATCTATGGCAAGCATCCTCACTACCTCTAGGATGCTTGCCATAGATGCAGGCAAAATGTCAGGAGAGAATGCCTCTAGAACATGACCACATAGCCCAAAAAAACCTACAACAACCCAGTGATTCCGGCCATGAAAGCCTTCGACAATATATAGAATCCTAGATGCCGGCCCACTTCCCAGTTTCTCCCAGTGCTGACTCCCTGGATTGTTTCTGTGGGCATTGACCACCCATATCTCCAATGCCATCAGCATGGTTTGCAAATATGTGATGAACTAAGCAGCCTATTTCCTACATTAGGCATCCCACAGATCCTTGGCCCTTACGTGTGGGAGACGTTGAACTTGAGGTCGGTGACTTCATCGGTGCTCCTTCCATCGATGGTCCACCAGACCTCCTGCGGGGAGTCCTTCAAGAAGGTGAAATGGACCTCGCAGAGAAGGCTCAGGTCTTCGCCTAAAGGAAGGATCATGCCAACAATGGTAAGAAGGTCAGCCGTATTTAACAGGTGAGGCAATGGGTGCATCTACTTTGTAGATTTGATGCAATTTGACACCACCCAAACTGCTATAGGTCAATGCTGTGGAATCCTGGGAGTTGTCGTTTGACAAGTTATCTAGCCTTCTCTGCCAAAGAGACCTTGAGGAATTCTCAGGATTCCATTGTCATTGAGCTCTGTTCTGGACAGGTCATCCATATTGTCATTGAAATACTTTGCCCAGAACTGGACACAGGGTTATTATTCCAGGTAAAGAGGTCTGAGTAAAGCAGAATAGGGTGGGATTAGGGCTTCCCTCCATCCAGAAACTAGAGTCCTCTTTATGCAGCCGAGAATTGCATTGGCCTTTTTGTTCACCTTGGCCCTGTTTTCTAATCCATTGTCACACCTCAGAGTAGAATCACCTTGTTTCAGACACCAAACAGCACATGAGCAATAGTCTTTATGGTTTATTAAAGTAAAAGATAAAAAGTTCAAAAAGGCAAAAGTATCGTTCTGAAGTTCAATACAAGGTAACACTGGAAAACAGGATCCACGGAGACACCAGCAAGGCAAAGTCCCATGAGAACATGACAAAGTCCTGAAACCATGAACATGAAAACTGCAAGATGAATCCTAAGTCTCTTGGCTGAAGTGAGAAGTTGCTTTGACACTGGGGTATTTTCAAACAGCCTGTTTAATATCCTTTGGAAAACATGAAGGCGTTCCTCTGGCCCTTGGCCTCCCTCTCTCTCTTGTTAGCGATTCTCACACTCTTTCAAACCTTAAATTCCAAGCGATCAGCTCGATCTAAAGCTCCAGCCTCATCAAGGTCAATCTGTTCATTAGTGCTTTCTTGCTCATTATCTGGCTGAGAACAACAGTCCTCCCTTCCTGAATCAAAATGCACCTGGCTTTCAGTAGTTTAATGATCAACAATGTCATCCTTTGCTGTGGGAAACAACTGAACTTCTGTACCCTGTTCTTCCTCGTCTATCACATCGCTTTGCACTTGACTGTGAATCTGAATCCCAATTAGGAAATGCCATTTATAACCCAGGAACAAAAATCATGTTGAGTGGAGTGATGGGGGGAATGCCATACATGTAATATATCTTGATTTCAGGAAGGTCTTTGACAAGGCCCCCATGAAGTGTGGGCTAGACAAGGCTCCTGTAAGGTGGACTGGGAACTGGTCAATGGTCCTAACCCAGGCATAGGGAAAATTTTGGACTCCAACTCCCACATCATCCTCATCAGACTCATTGACACTATCACTCTATGATTCCAGCTGAGTCACAACATCCATTAAAGTCCTTTTGGATCCTGATCCTGTCCTCTGGAGCGATGGTTCTCCCTCCCAATTCGGTCCCATCTGCAGAATGGATCAGCCTGCCTTCTAGTCTGTCATCCAAGAGGTTGAATAGCCCTGAAAGGCCCTCTTGATGGCACCCCAAAGAGTGACTTCTCCCCAAGAGGAAGAAAGAGGAGCCCTTGGGAAGTATTCTTTGGGTTAGGACAGGAATGAGCAAACTTTGACCCTCCAGGTGTTTTGGACTTCAACTCTCACAATTCCTAACAGCCTACTGGCTGTTAGAAATTGTGGGAGTTGGAGTCCAAAATGCCTAGAGGGCCAAAGTTTGTCCATGCTTGAGTTGGGACCATTGATCAATTCTGAGTCCACCTCATGGGAGCCTTGTCCACTTCACAGAAGGCTTGTCAAAGGCCTTTCTGAAATCAAGATATATTACATGTATGGCATTCCCCCCATCACTCAACTCAACATGATTTTTGTTCCTGGGTTATAAATGGCATTTCCTAATTGGTTCTATCATAAAAACATGGAAAAGGTTTGTAAAACTGCAAAAACTTAGTTTTTTTCAGTAAATCTTGCAGCACTTTTTGCTCTAGTTTTGCACTGAATATCTCATTGAGTGTCAACCAATTCAATCTAGTTTGTGGCAGCCACAAAAACAAAGTTTCTGGGGTAGAACAACTGCTTTCAAAGTAAGAACCACACAATTAAACAGGAAATAATGCTTTCAAACCAGGAACAGGGCACTTTCCAAATTCTGTTAGATAGAACACACCTGGCTTGTGTTCATAGATGACCCGGCTGTTTGGAATGATGATCTGAGGAACCGTTGAACTGTATGGATGAGCTGCAGACAGAAGGAATAAAAGGGAAAAGAAGCGGAATCATCAAAACGTGTTCCTTTTGTACCCAAAAAAGGAACCAACATTTGGCTTCCAAACACCCAGTTAGTGGCCATAATTGATCACTTATCTTTCTTTCTCTAGTTTCATGACATAAACATATTTCATCTACACTGTAGCATGAATACCGTTTGACACCACTTTGACTGCCATAGGATCATTGGGATTGCTAGCATGGTTATTTATTTATTGTGTCAGGAGCAGACCAAACAGTTGCATTGCATTTTTTAACAAACAGACAAACAAACAAAACACAAAGTTTGCAAGCTTGGTAGTTGATTAAATGTCCTTTGACCAGTATCTGGCCCCTTGGAGTGCCTCTGGTGTTGCCACAAGAAGGTCCTCCATTGTGCATGTGACAGGGCTCAGGTTGCATTGCAGCAGGTGGTCAGTGGTTTCCTCTTCTCCACACTTGCATGTTGCGGATTCCACTTTGTGGCCCCATTTCTTGAGATTGGCTCTGCATCTCGTGGTGCCAGAGCGCAGTCTGTTCAGCACCTTCCAAGTCGCCCAGTCTTCTGTGTGCCCAGGGGGGAGTCTCTCATTTGGTATCAGCCATGGACTGAGGTTCTGGGTTTGAGCCTGCCACTTTTGGACTCTCGGTTGCTGAGGTGTTCCAGCGAGTGTCTCTGTAGATCTTAGAAAACTATTTATAGATTTAAGTCATTGATGTGCTGGCTGATATACAAACAGAGGATGGGCCGGAGATGTCACTGCCTTGATCCTTTCACTATTGGCTGCTACTTCCTGGCGGATGTCAGGTGGTGCAATACCGGCTAAGCAGTGTAATTCCTCCAGTGGTGTGGGGGGCGACGCCCCGTGATAATGCGGCATGTCTCATTAAGAGCCAAATCTCTTAATGTGGATGACACCTTCACCATTTGGAGCCATGGAGAAGAAGAACTCAACAGGTTCCTGGACCATCTTAACAGCATCCACCCAAACATCCAGTTCACCATGGAAAAAGAAAATGAAGGAAGACTGCCTTTTCTAGATGTCCTAGTCATCCGCAAACCAGATCAACAATTGGGTCACACCGTCTACAGAAAACCCACACACAGAGATAGGTATCTACATAAAAACTCCAACCATCAGCCAAGTCAAAAAAGAAGTCCCATTAAAGCCTTGGCAGATCGCGTGAAAAGAATCTGCGAAGCCCACCTCCTCCAAGATGAACTGAACCACCTCAACTGGGCTCTCCAGGCCAATGGAGACTCCACCTCAGACATCAGAAAAGCTGCAAGACCAAGAATAAGCCACGAGAGTAAAGATGAAGATCCACCCAGAGGAAAAGTGTTCTTGCTTGCCATACATCAAGGGAACCACTGACCGCATAGGGAAGCTGATGAGGAAACACAACATACAAACAATCTACAACCCACCAAGAAAATCCAACAAATGCTACGTTCAGCAAAGGACAAGAGGGATCCTCTCACCTCTGCAGGAGTCTACCGTATACCATGCAGCTGTGGACAAGTCTACATAGGGACCACCAAACAAGCAGTGCCCAGACACGCATCAAGGAACATGAAAGGCACTGCAGACTACTTCAACCAGAGAAGTCAGCCATAGCAGAGCACCTGATGAACCAGCCTGGACACAGCATATTATTTGAGAACACAGAAATGCTGGACCACACCAACAACCACCATGTCAGACTACACAGAGAAGCCATTGAAATCCACAAGCATGTGGACAATTTCAACAGAAAGGAGAAAACCATGAAACTGAACAAAATCTGGCTACCAGTATTAAAAAACTCTAAAATTATAACAGCAAAACAACAGAGAGGAAAAAACCAGGCACAGATTAACACCTCCCAGCAACAGATTTTCCCAGACTCAGGCAGGCCTCAAATGCTAATCAAGGTGGTCGGTTGAAACATTCACACCTAGCTCCAGCAGACAAGAGTCCTTTGCCCCACCCCAGCCATTCCACAGATATATAAACCCATTGTCCTAATTCCAACAGACCTCACACCTCTGAGGATGCTTGCCATAGATGCAGGCGAAACGTCAGGAGAAATGCCTCTAGAACATGGCTCTATAGCCCGAAAAAACCCACAAGAACCTAGTGATTCCAGCCATGAAAGCCTTCGACACTACTTTCTTATCATGGTGAGATGTGTTCCACACTGGGCATGCATACTCAGCAGCAGAGTAGCATAGCACAAGGGCAGATGTCTTCACTGTGTCTGGTTGTGTTCCCCAGGTTGTGCCAGTCAGCTTTCGTATGATATTGTTTCTAGCGCCCACTTTTTGCTTGATATTCGGGCAGTGTTTCTTGTAGGTCAGAGCACGGTCCAGAGTGACTCCCAGGTATTTGGATGTGCTGCAATGCTCCAGTGGGATTCCTTCCCAGGCCATCCTCAGAGCTCGGGGTGCTTGTCTGTTCTTGAGATGAAAAGCACATGTCTGTGTTTTAGATGGATTAGGGATCAGCAGGTGTTCTCTGTAATAGCCAGTAAGAGCACCTAGAGCTTTGGAGAGCTTCTGTTCAATCATCTCAAAGCTCCAACTGAGGAAGAAGACTTTATGGGGTTCACGGGGAGTGATGGGACTGAGAGTGATAATGGTGAGGAGGATGGGCTAGACTGGACCTGTGTACAAGAGATCAGAGACATATATACTCAACCCACCTCAAGTGAGGAGTTTGAGGGGTTCTCGGGAGATTGGCAACCTGGAAATACTTAGGGTGATCTAAGTCTTGATAGATGCTGGAAGAGCTGGAGGGATGGGTGGTGGCGAGCAGCTGTGGAAGCAAAAGCACCTGAGAGCAATGATGACAGGGTGGAGTCCAGCTCCACCTCTGATGAGGAGTTATAGGATATAAGAAAGGTATCAAACTATTGGAACTTTGCAGTAGGCAAAGTGTTGTATTGGGCTTGGAACTTTGTTGCTGCCCTTAGTCCTGGGACTGCAGATCGTTGTACTTCCATGCTTCTACCGATTGGAATCCTGTAAGTGCTGACTTCTACTCCTTGCTGACTTCGGATTGCTTTTGGACGATAACATCGCATTTTAGACTTAACTTCTGCTTTTGGACATGTCTCGACCTTGGCCTGTTTCTTGACTATATTTTTGCTTGCTCCCACCTTGTTACCTTGTGTTTTGTGAACTCTGAGTTTTTGAAGCAGTTTGCTTAAAGTTTTTGTTATACCGGATTATATCTCTGTATAATCTGGATTATTCTCCAAGTTGCGTTTTTTGCTTAGCAGTTGCTACAGACTTTATTTTATTGCTAGACTCACTGAATTCAAGTATTTCTAAGCTATTTTTTTGTTTGTTAATAAACTTTGTTTGCACCTTTTACTTGTGTTTGGCTCCTTTAAGGCGTCTGGTTCACGACAATAACAGCAATACACCTTTTACAAAGGCAGCACAGTGCAGCGTTTTGGGTCTTGGATGATGATTCTGGAAATCTGGGTTAGAATCCCTGCTTGGCTATGAAAAACTACCCAGTGACCTCAGTCAAGCCACACTTTTCCAGCCTCAAAGGAAGGTAAGGGCAAACCTTCTCGGACCAAATCCGATCCTCTAATGGGATGTCCTTAGGGTTGCTATAAGTCAGAAAAATTGTTTGTGGGAGCACAACGACAATAGTGAATAGCATCTTACCTACCACCTTCACCCTGAAGGTCCTGGTGAGGTTGAAATCCCGCCCGTTCTCCCGATAAGTCGCGACACAGCTGTAGTCGCCCGCATAGCTCTCGCGGACAATGATGAAGGTGAGGTTGACGCCAGAGGGCTTCCGCTCAGGGAAATTGTGCACCAGATTGCAGTTCTGCAACAAGGAGAGAAGCAACGACCCTTATGACCAGGAAGGAGGACAAAAGAGGCGCAGGCGCTTTGAGCCCATTGCCCACCATCGGTTCCTATAACACAGAGCTTTCCAAACGTTTCATGTTGGCGACACACTTTATTCATTCATTTATTTCGAGTACTTCTACCCCGCACTTCTCAACCCGCCGGGGGGGGGGGGGACGACACACGACGACTCAGGGCGGCTTACAAAAAAGCACAAATTCGATGCCTACACAAAATACACATACGTAAACAGCAGTTAAAACAATTATCACAGTTAAAAACAATTGGTACATAACACAATCAATAAAACTAATCTCATGCTCAGCGATCATCTTTCAGAGTTCCATAATTCCATTCCACGTAGTCAATTCCTGTCCATCGTCAAAGTTCTTTCTTTATCTGCCAGATTGTCCGAATGCCTGGTCCCAAATCCAAGTTTTCAATTTTTTCCTAAAGGAAAGGAGGGATGTCGCTGATCTAACTTCTCCAGGGAGTGAATTCCACAGGTGAGGGGCCACCACCAAGAAGGCCCTGCTCCTCGTCCCCGCCAATCTTACTTGTGATAGAGGCAGGGTCGAGAGCAGGGCCTCCCCAGAAGATCTTAGACTCTGAGGTGGGTCGTAGAGGGAGATCCGTTCGGACAGATACACTGGGCCGGAACCGTATAGGGTTTTGTAGGTCAAAACCAGCATTTTGACTTGTGCTCGGAATTGGATCGGCAGCCAGTGGAGCTGACATAACAGGGGGGTGGTATGCTCCCTGTATGACGCTCCTGTAAGTACTCTGGCTGCCTCCCGCTGGACTAGTTGGAGTTTCCGAACAGTCTTCAAAGGCAACCCCACGTAGAGTGCATTGCAGTAATCTAATCGGGATGTAACAAGAGCGTGGACCACCGTGGCCAGATCTGACTTCCCAAGGTACAGGCGCAGCTGGCGCACTTTCTGGGCATGCATCATTTCGTGACACCACCATTCAGTTTTATAGCAAACCGGAGATTAAACCAACACCTTACGAGTTATATGGATACATACATAAATAAATTATAATAACAATTTCTTTTCTTATTGTGGGCACTATGCTGTGCCGGTTGTTAGCCGCCCTGAGTCCCTCTGTGGAGGTGAGATAGGATGGGATATAAATGCCCCAAATAAATAAATAAAAAATATGGGGGCACAACATATCTCATGAAAACTTTTCATTTATATGCGGGTTGAATGAAAAGTAATGCCTCCACCTATGTAACTCCTCAACAGTTGGCAGTACTGGTATGCGGCAGGTACTGGCTTGTTCAGTAGACTCTCCTCTACAGTTCCATTTTGGTGGGAAGCCTTAGCATTCTGTTGTTAAAGTGAGAAGTATGGAACCCTGCGCAGACGGTCGGTCAATGCGACTTAAGCAATGTACAGTCATTGAATTCTTGACAGCAGAAGGTGTCACCCCAAAGGAGATTCATCAGAGAATGCAAATTGATTATGTTGATTGTGTTAATGTGAGTACTGTGCGTCATTGGGAAAGTAAGTTTAAAGATGTTGAGGTGGGAACATCTGACTTGCGTGACAAATAAAGAGTTTATTTATTTATTTATTTGCAGCTTTTCTATTCCGCCCTTCTCCTCACCTCGCAGGAGACTCAGGGCGGATTACAGTGTACACATATATGGCAAACATTCAATGCCAATTTTAACATACAACATTTACAGACATACACAGAGGCTATTTAACTTTTTCTGGCCGCCAGGGGAGCTGTCGCTTTCATCGTCCATCTGCGACACTGATGAAGTACTTCTGCATTCCCCGCATGCTTTCTGCTGGAGTCTTTTTTATGGCCTCATAAAGTAGTTAATTTAGCCTCCCCACACTTTAAGGTGGTACCTAATTTTCCTACTTGACAGATGCAACTGTCTTTCAGGTTGCAAAGGTCAACAACAGGCTACATAATTGGTTGGAAACCCACTCCAACCCAGGCTGGCTTCGAACTCATGACTTTTTGGTCAGAGTGATCTTAATGCAGCTGACACTCAGCCAGCTGCGCCACAATCCCGGAGTTGGATGTCCTGTGACAGCAACCACTGAGTTTCACGAGCAAAAGGATGACAGATTGATTCAGGATGATCATCGTATCACTCAGAGAGAAATTTCAAGCATAATCGGCATTTCGCAAGAACGTGTGGGTCACATTATTGCATTGCTTGGCTATCGGAAGATCTGTGCACGATAGGTACCCAGGATGCTGACGCCTGAAATGAAAGTGCACAGACTTGAAACTTCAGAGACTGGATCTCACCACCGTATGACATCCTCCTTACAGTCCAGATTTAGCACCGTCTGACTTCCATCTGTTCCTGATAATGAAAGAAGATATGTGGGGACATCATGATGCTTCTGATGAAGATGTTGAGAGAACTGTGAGACGCTGGTTGCGGAAACAGAGTGTCGACTTCTTCCGTAACGGCTTCAGAAAACTTGTTCATCATTGGCAGAAATGTACCCAATTGTCTGGTAATTATTTGGAGAAGTGAATAGTGGTAGTTAAAGAGCAAATTCTTAGGATTATTTCTGAGTTTGGTTTATTAAAATATTCCCATCCAAACGCAAGTAATGGAGGTGGAGGCATTACTTTTCATTCAACCCTGATACTGTAAAAAATATATATGATTTATTGCTTATTTCATACTGACTCCTTTCATTTGTGCAACACACTAACATGTTGTGATACACAGTTTGGAAAGGTCTGCTATAATAGACCAGACTTCCCTCTCCACACTCCTGCGGATACCTATTTTTATTAGACATTTTCTCAAAATGATTCACGGAAGTTATGTTGCATCATTCTTTTGGAAGGATTCCCAATGAAAGGAGAAATATTCATGAATTCTACAGGAAGATGCTCAAAAAAAAGATGTATCTACACTATAGAATTAATGCAGCTTGGCATTGCTGCAACAGCTGCAACTCAATGCCATGGAATCCTGGGAGTTGGTTGAAAAATATGTTTCTCATGTGCGGAGATTGACACGGATCTTCCAAATTCAAAACATGATTGTTGTGTGCCTTGAAGTTGTTTCTGATCTATACAACCCTAAGAGGGGGCCTTACAGGGTTGTCATTGCAGGATTTCCCTAGTGAGGTTTCTTCTTGCTTTGCTTAATTGGATTTCTATCATCTCTAGTCTTCAATGGGCTCAGAGATTTTTATAAGTCACCAGTAATACTTATTAAACAGTGCTAAAAATATTTGGATCAAGGTTTCCTTATCCCATTGGAAATAAACTCTTGCATTGACGTATTGTCGAAGGCTTTCATGGCCGGAATCACTGGGTTCTTGTATGTTTTTTCGGGCCATATGGCCATGTTCTAGAGGCATTCTCTCCTGACGTTTCGCCTGCATCTATGGCAAGTATCCTCAGAGGTAGTGAGGTCTGGTGGAACCAGGAAAATCTATATATATATAAATGCTCTGTGCGTAATGAGTACCTTAAAAACAAAAGAACCAATGAACGAAATCACACCAAATTTGGCAACAAAATGTCTCATAACACAAGGAGTGACCATCACTCAAAAATTTATGATTTTGTCATTTGGGAGTTGTAGTTGCTGGGATTTATAGCTCACCTATAATCAAAGAGCATTCTGAACTCCACCAACGATGGAATTCAACCAAACTTGACACACAGGACTCCCCTGACCAACAGAAAACACTGGAAGGGTTTGGTGGGCATTGACCTTGAGTTGTGGAGTTGTAGTTCACCTACATCTAGAGACCACTGTGGACTCAAACAATGATGGATCTGGACCAAACTTGTCACGAATACTCAATATGCCCAAATATGCACAGAGATGGAGTTTGATGGAAATAGACCTTGACTTTTGAGAGTTGTAGTTACTGGGATTTATAGTTCACCTACAATCAAAGAGCATACTGAACTCCACAAACGACAGAATTGTGGCAAATTTCCCACGCTGAATCCCATGACCAACAGAAAATACTTAAGGCCATTTAGTCCAACTCTCTTCACCAGGGCAAGAAAATCTAATCAAAGCCCTCCTGACAAAGAGCCATCCAGCCATAGATGTAGATATATATATATGATTCACACACACACAGATATAATATCATAGATTTGAAAGGGAGCCCTAAAGAAGGACAATGATATGTTGCATATTCCAGAGTAGGCAAACCAGACACTCTCCACATCAACACTGACAAAGAAACAACAAGAAATACTGTTTACCCACAAGCAGAAAGGCATTACGTATATTAGAAACCAATACTTTATTTTCCAGATCAACAGACGGGGCCACAGCAACGCGTGGCAGGGGACGGCTAGTGGGTTTATATATCTGTGGAATGACCAGGGTGGGACAAAGGACTCTTGTCTGCTGGAGCTAGGTGTGAATGTTTCAACTGACCACCTTGATTAGCATTTGATGGCCTGGCAGTGCCTGGGGCAATCTTTTGTTGAGAGGTGATTAGATGTCCTTGTTTGTTTCCTTTCTGTCACACCCTGGTCATTCCACAGATACATAAACCCATTTTCCTAGTTCCAACAGACCTCAATACCTCTGAGGATGCTTGCCATAGATGCAGGAGAAACATCAGGAGAGAATGCCTCTAGAACATGGCCATGTAGAATTAATACAACATCCCTCTTGCATTGATCTTTATTCTGTGAACACTTAGAGGTCAGGAATTTCTTGCTAGGAGATTGCATTACTCATCTGATACAAGTATCCCTATGTTGATTGATTGTAAGTCAAGATGTATTTTCTGCACAGAACCTGCACTGTGCAGATATCATTTTCTGTGCAAAAAAACCCAGCATTTATACACACAGAAAAATGATATCCGACACATAGGAAATGCTTTTTACAACAACAAACCACGTGTGAATTTTGTGCAAAATCCTAAAATGTGAAATACATCCTAAACTGTAGAAATGCTCCAAATAGCACATTTATTTATTTATTTACTGTGTCAG